TGGAAACGAAACTTGTGTTGATCACCGGTGCTTATTTGTTGTGTTTAGTTTAGAAAAGACAGTTCAGGCTCTTCTGTGATTTTTGTCCCATCCTGCCATTGCAAAGACTTTCCAGGGTGGCTGTTGAGGAGGTGTTTTGACAACAAACCAGAGCAGTTTGATAAAAAGGGAGGGCTGGGATGGCATGTATGTTTAGGATCTAGTTACAAAATGGGCTTTTAACAACATTATCTCTTGAATTCAAACAGAGAGAGGCCAGGCCGGGGGGGGGAGGGGGAGTTGGTTGGTGTTGTTGCTACTGCTTGAGTAACTCTTTATACATATGAAAAATGAGACATTAATAACCCTGACCAGAGCCAACCATTGTGTGCGGTCATTGTGTAAGCTTCCTTGCTTAGTGCAGCCAGTGGATTTGAATCTTGACAGTGAAAGGCAGAATTGTATCTACGCTAAGAGCAGAGTGCCACTCTAGTTTCCAGTTCCAAGATGGACTTTACTGAGACCCAAAATGCCTCCCTGTGTGTCTCCTGGAAGAATTCATCTTTGAATTCTAAGCATTGGATGCTGACCTAACAGTGTATTAAACTGTTGCACAGTCCCACCCCCGAGGCAACCCCAACAGACAATTAACAATAGGAATACAAATGTGGAAACACATGATAAATGGTTTTTGGGTGGAGCTTTGACCTGCTATCTTTGTTCAGGGGAAGGTTGCTGCTGCTAAATAAAGAGGTGGAAAGGCAGTCTCCCAGTAAGCATCTGGTGGACATGAATATATCATATTGGAAAGAAACCACTCCTGTCCCTGCAGCACATCTGCTTTTACTGCATAGTAAATAACGTATGGGATAAAGAAATGAAAAGCTTTGGTGTCTGATCAACCTGGATGTGCAGATTAGTTCTCCCTGATACTGTATATCCTATCAACCAATCCCTAGAAGCCAGCCAACATTTGACTTCATTTAGTGGGGACTAGCTTTTTTAAGTCCCAAAGATTTCAACAGGCAAGTTAAGCATTTATTCCCCCCTTTTTTTGTATTATGTGTGTGTATTTGTTTGCAAGCCTAGAAGTCATGGTGACTTTGGGTGAGCCCTATTGGGGCTGGGACATTTTCCAAAGAGGTGGCTTGATTGCCTGCCTCTGTGTTCCAGCCCTGGTGTTCCTTGAAGGCCTCCCTTCCAACTACTTGCCAAGGTCAGCCCTGCTTAGCTTCTGAGATCTGGCGAGATTGGGTTTGCCTGGGCTATCCAGGTCAGGGCAAGCATTTCTCCCTCTTGTAGGCCTTTAAAAAGTAACTTTAATGGGATCATTCTGAATACGATTTGCATCAGTACAACGGTTTGAAAACTGCAGTATCCTCTTCAACATTTATTTGTCCTGGCTTATGATGCAAGTCGTTATTTTATCAGGATACCACATCTGGGGTTCTTCTGCACAGACACTCTTTAAATGAACATCAGATGTTTTGATTTTCTGCTTCAAGCACCCCATTTTCCTGTCCCTTCCTGACTTCCCTCCCTCAGCTTCTTGGACTATGGTACCCAAAAGTGGGAATGCAGTACTGCAGATGGCCGGTTCATTAGCCTTTGGGACTGCAACATGGCATGGTGACTCAGTTCCATTTGTTGACTTTCTCAGGAGTGCTGCTGCCTAGCCAATGGGGTATTTTATCCTTGGCAATTTTCCTCTGTTTTAGCACTTCTTGTGGGAGGGTCTGTTCTGGTCCCCCTTAAATTATTCCATTTAAATTCTCCATGGGAGGAGGGAGAGCCAGCCAGATATTAATCAAATGCTGGAGGGGACTGATTGGTTACACTTGCACACCATTCTGGGTTCTGTTGACTTCGAGTAAGAATGTACTGTAAACAGATCAGGACCTATGGTATAACAACGTCCCTCCCCAGTCCTCTACACACAATCTCCTGAGCCAGGAAAGGAAAAAAACACATAAAGAGACATTATCATAAATGGCCTGAGGCCGGGGCTTCCCCAACTTCCATTCCCGGCAAAATGCCGCTCCACCCTTTTATTGGGCCGTGTTAACATCCAGTAAAATAACCTTTTCATGAAAGCATTTTACTTAAGGGTCACTTTATTAACAATTCCTCAGGCCCTGCTGGGCATTTTTAATCCCACTAGATGGCGCATTTACAAAGAAAACTACTGCATTTTTGGTGTCGGGAGGAAAAAAAACCCTTCAGTTGATCGACCCTTGTTCCCTTACTTACCTGGAGGGATTTTTTGTTTTGTTTTGCGGGGGGGGGGTCTATTCCATGTGTTTACCTGGGTGGAGGAACGCTGCTCTATGCAATCGGGTAAAATATCATATTTGGTTACGTTTATAACAGCTTTCGCCTGAAATGGGTTTTTGTCAGCTCAAAAACTC